TGTCGGGGGGGTGTGTGGGCTGAGGGCTGGGGGCGGACTTGTTGAAGTACTTCTGGCAGAGGGCGTTGTTTTGTAGGCACATTTCGTGGTTCTCGCAGTAGGTGTAGCAGCAGCCGCCGATCTCGCGGGCGGGCGTCGCGGTGGCTCCGGCTCCGGGTCGCGGCGGATGGAGGTGCGGGTGGGCCACGTTGAGCCCGTTGGCCGCGTTCTGCTCGTCCTCCAGAATCTCCTCCGCCTCCTCCGAGACTGAGTCGCCGTACATCGATCGGGCCAGCTGCTCTCCCGTCTCAGGGATATCTGGATCTGCAACATCCCAAACGAACAACCTCCAAAATCCGTGCACACTTCTTTCAATTTCATTCCCTCTTCATTCCTCAAATTTCTCCATTAACCTCTTTTCTTCTCCTTTTCGGGGTGGGAGGGGGGAGGGGCAAATATAGTACCTATATTAAGAGAGTATGGCCACTGGGTCCCATGGAGAGGCGCAGGACCCAAAAATGGCGGTGCTTTGTTTTGGTTTTTGAGGATGGGAGGGGGGTCATTGCCAACTTTTGACGGTTATCACCGACCGCACTTGCTGCCAACCTTACTACATCTAAGATAATTTTTTTCGAAAATGGCACACCATTAGCCGTAAAAATATGTAAAGAAATCGCAATAGTGCATTTGGGTAAATTTCTCGTTACGATAAACAAGGAAAACTACATTTTGAGTCACTTTGCATCACATTAACTTATGGCGTCCTCCAATTTTGGGTCCTAAGGGCTCCATTCAGCCTAAGATGGCTGAGTCAATTAGAGGTAGTAACACTAGTGGCCATACTCTCTTAATATAGGTACTCTAAGTACAAGGACGGGCTCAAAACATAGAGTACATAGAGTCGTAATGTGAATGGGAGAGCTAGCGCCATGTTCTGCTCGACGAGTCCCGAGCCAGGTGTGCGCCGAGCTTCAGTCATTTTTTCGATACATGTTCGAGCCAAAATGGCGGTGTGGAACTCGTTGTAATTCCTATCTCCTTTTCTTACATCGGATGGCCGAGTCGCCCTGTGCATGGAAAGCAATCGATCCTGTATCGAATAAGTGGCCTGGCGTGACACAGGAATCTCGGAACTCGGGACCTGGGATATGCTTAAAAGTGGCGCCAGCTCTTCTATTCACATTACGACTCCATGTACTCCAGGTTCATGCATAATGAGGCTATTCAAGTATGGCGAAAGACAGGCCTCAAGCTACAAGGAGCTGTAATGTAGGACCCTCAGTCAGCCCTGTCAGCCCTCCACTTTTCTAACAAACATAATATTTCCCAATTAAAATAAGTTTTCCATTCTGTGTTATTTTATGGAAATAAAAAGATGGGTGAGAGGTTAATACTTACAAGTGCCTTACAGGCGGGAGAGGAGGGGGTTCACGAGTCGGCAGGAATGCCTTACATAGTGCTTGAATGGTTTCACAGAGTTTTTACTTTTTGAATCAGATTTGAAAAATGTCTGCGTTCAGCTATTCCCTTCTTTACTTCGGAGAAAAANGGGGGGGGGGGGGGGGGACTTGGAGCCATAAAATGTCAAGTGCTCGTACAGTAAGATTACACTTATACGTATTCGCCGGGGATTCATTTCCGATTGGCTTAGCCACAAACTTGGGGCTTAGAAATGGAGCGATCCATGCGGGTGCGGATTAAAATATTGGGAAATGATACCTCATTCCCTGCATCGCTATGGATCTGTGTTCGATCGGATGTAAATAAACGTGTTCATAAACTATGATAACCAATTTTGGGCTTAATCTTCAATGAAACTTTGTTGAAAGTAGAGCTTCCTGTGGAGAGGTTGGCAACAGGTGCAACCGATAGAATCCATCGGGCGTTGGCATCAACTCTTTCCCTTCCGAAGTCACCAGCATTTTCAAGTTTTATGGCTTCCATGAAGCAAGTGAAAGAGGAAAATGTCTTTACTCTCACGAAATTGATACCATAAAGCGCCTCACCCACGCTCAAACTATGGCGATTTAAAATAGCTCATCTAGGTATTATCCAGCCCTCTCATTCGGTCAGCGGCGCAAGTTTAAGTCTTCCACGATCCCTTTTAAAGCCTCCAGTTTGAGCGTGGGCAGAGTGGACGACAAAAAGTTGACACCCCTAAAAGCTGGGCATTCTGAAAACCTCTGGCATAAATACAGCGTTAATTTTTTCTGTAAGAATTAGAATTACTTCAATCGTTGCCTTTGCGTTTCTGGATTAATGCCCAAAAGGTAAATTGGTTTTTTTGCCACACTATAATTACTATCACTTAGGTAGGTCACACACTTAATGGTTCCAGTTTTCATTTGAGAAGAAAGCTGAATCCAGAAAATTAGCGAAACGGGCACGACCAGTTTGGAAATCTCAATATCATCGTCAAGTTAACTAAAGTCAATCTAAATCAACTTTTGCCAATTAATGTAACCTTCAAGTTTAGTCATCGTCACTTATGAAATTAGGAAGAGATGCGCTAAATATGATTTTCGTACATTTTACCAACGAAAGGTCTACATCGAATTGGTATATCTGTTGCTTGCAACAATCCCATTTTCCAAAGAGGAAAAAAATGGACCTCGTCCACCTTTAAAGTAAGCCCTTGGATCACCACCAGATATGCAAAATGAAATGTTTATTTGGTTGAAAAATTTTTATGATATCTCATGGAATTTAAGCGGTTAGGTATTCGATCCGCAACAAATAATTGAGCAGATATTCTGAAATATATATATATAAAGGTCGCTTTACAGCACTTCCTCGCGCTCTACGACTCCTAACCTCCACTGCTCTATTTCAAACCACAAATCTTGGGAGATCTGTGGAGATCAATCTCTCAATCTCACAATATTCTGAAATTCGACTCATAATAATTTTATTTCAAAATATTCAAAAATCGATTTTTTACAATTCCTAGGAAACTTATGATAGTTTGAGGCTTTTATGAAATTTTTAAACCAAATTTCATATTTTAAGATGACATCAAGGAGAAAAAAACTTCGTGCATGGGACCCGAAGTTGAGCTCATATGGATCTCTGAAGTTTTCTGATCACACGTCCGAAAACATGAGGTCGAGCTGCCGAAGTTCGGGTCAGACATCGAGGCACTTCGGTACGTATCGGAGTACTTCAGATGTACGACCCGAATCCTTCGGTACTTATCGAAGTACCTCAGATGTCTGACCCGGCCTTCGGCAACTGGACCTCAAGTTTTTAGATACGTGATCCGAAAACTTCAGAGATCCATGTGACCTCAACTTCGGGTCCCACGTACGAAGTTTTTTTCTCCGGGCATATTTCATTTCTTAGTTGATATATCTGATACAAATATTACTTATAAAAATATATTTAAAAATTACACCCAATTGTATAGAATTTAACGAAGTTTTGTATTTGTGACGACAATTGAGGATAAAAATGAGAGTGCATAAGGGTACTGGAAAAAAATCACATTGGATCTAGAGTCCCGACTCTTGAAAACATCGAAAAGAAAAAATACTCTTGATTCAATCAGATTTGGACGTATTTCTACCAAACGGAACTATGTGCATTAAGACATGAGCTCTGAGACCCATAATAATACACGCATAACAGGGCTCACGTCATAATGCACATAGTTCCGTTTGATAGAAATACGTCCATTTTTGCTTACATCAAAAGGAAATCCGCTCAAATTACGAGGCTTGGTTCTTGATTTAAGCAGAAATCCGATTGAATCAAGAGTATTTTTTCTTGTCGATGTTTTTAAGAGTTTGGACTCTAGATCCAATGTGTCCCCCCCCCCCCCCCNAGTGAGTTGTGGCGTAAAATTGGTATTAAGAGTGACGAGGTATTACCTAGGCACATGAATACAGGTTCGCCGGCGTAGTTGGTAGGCATCTGGGGGCTCTTGTCGGCGGGCAGGAAGAAAGGGCATCGTTGCTCAACAGCTCGGCAGACTGACCGGCAGGGCCTCACTTTGTGCCGACCCCTTCCCGCCCAGTGAGGCAATAACGAGGCACACACCCACCGTCTGTACGCCTCCTGAAACATCCCAAAACGTCCACACATTAGCACATACGTATTCCAAGCTTTCCAAACATCAAGAACATTATCCTCTTCAAAACTACACAAAGGTCCTGAAAATTTCAAACTATCTTCGTGGACTTACCACGGCCGGATTCATACATAAGCCGTTGGGGCCGCTCCGTCGACGCGACTTTCGCGGCGATTCAACCCAGAAGAATTAAGTACAAGATGGTGACTAATATAGACCGAAAAGTAGGCGATGAGAGTCTGAAAATCAGCATAAAAAAATGTGTTGGACAGGGCCGGATTAAGGGGGAGGCCACCTGGGCCGCGGCCCATGACGGCAAAATGTAGGGGGCGGCAAAAATTTGCAATATTTTTTAATGTAGGTATCGAAAAAAGAAGAAAAAATCGGATTCAGAAAATAAAATACAAACGAGAAAAGGCGACAAAATCTCTCATTTCCTGAGAGTAAAAGTATATCAATTTCTGATGTTGTCGTCTTTCGGTGATACAAGAGACGACACCTTTAATTAGTCGAGTTAAAAGAGAAACCAAACACGGAATTTGACCTTGAACGGAGTGGCGCAAAGAGCAATGGCGGCCCTCGGCGCGGCGGTCGGCATGAAACGCATAGCGCCTACAAGACTGCATGAATACTTCACGCTGCGCCGACCGTACCGTGTTCGGCGCAGCGGCGGAAGTTAAAATTATTAAACCACATTTACGTTTGTTCTTTCATAAGTTTTTCGTTCATTTGTTATAAATGGAAGGCCTTGTCCATGTCCAGACAGGGATGGGTTTACGGAACTTAACTTTTGCGTGCCGTTCCGTTAACTTCCGTTAGTGTTGGCAGGGCTTTCACAAAAAATGTGCCCAACACGAGTAAATGCATATCATACACCGATCCCCCATTGGCACGTTCACTTAACGAATTTGAAGGGAGAGGAAAAATACAGGTGGCCCATGGGCGGCAAGTACGGTAAATCCGGCCCTGGTGTTGGATACGCAATTTAAAAACGGCATGACACCTCCCCCTTCCCGCGAGTTCTGAAATTATAAACGAGGTAAAAGCTAACTCCTCACTTGATTTTGGAAATTTCAGACAACTTTTGTCTTTTACGCGAAATTGTGATGAGAAAGTGTTTTATCCGCCGCTTGATTTCCGACCCTGTTCAGTGTTCGATTTGATGCGGTTTAAAGCGCCTTCAAATGCGAATGATACTCCGCCGTGCTCTGAAGATCGAATAGTTGTATCAGAAATATCCGATCACATTTATAAGTTTAAATATCATCAGAACACAGTAACCGCCTTCGCATGAACTAATGTCACGTGGAATAAGGTGGAAGTTTTGTTTATGGAACAAAATCATAAAAGGGGAAGTTGAACTTTTTTATCGGTTAGTGAAACATCCAACTCAAGAAACCGAGATCACCTTCAATTTCTTGACATCGCACACCTGGAATTGACGTATTCTACTTCAGATCACTCGCATGGTTTCTTTCTTATGAGCTTATTAGAAACATTTGCAATGTCAACAATCATGCTTTTGATGGAAATGAATTCTTGCTTCGAAAACCGCTCAATTCGGGAAAAATGAAAGTTTGTCCAAAAACAAATTATATTAAACACAACTGTATTTAAATATAGATAAGTTGTTATTCGAGTTATAGGAGTCCATTATCTTTTATTTAACTTCTTTTTTCATTTTCTTCCTCCTTTAAAATTTATACTGAAAAGATGGCCAAGAATTCTTGTTCGTTCGAAGGGTGCCCGACTTAAGGGTAAAATCGCTCATTATTCGGTATTTAAAGACTAATAAGTTTCATGATTTTGACCACGGGGCTCTTTTTACAACTGAGTGACATGTGCCAAAAGCATTTTCTGCTCATCGAAAACTTTTGGCTGATTTCAGTTTTTGGATTTTTTTTCAAAGCTGGACTTTTATTGAAAAAAAAAACAAAAAAACTACATTTTGCCATCGAGTTTTATAAGAGTTAACTTTGGAAAAATCCAAAAAATTGTCTAAGTTTTGCTTGGAATTTTGATAGGATCTTCTGGGTTGGATGTTGGATCCAGGTCGCTACCGAGCGTCAATCTGCAGATTTTGAATCGTTTGACGTGTATCCGACCAAATTACAAAACCATATCCTCCACTTCCACCCCACCTCTTGAGCCCCGAAACTTCTTAAATTAAAAAAGAGGAAGAGAGAGAGGGAGAGAGAGAACAAGTGGCAACAGCCAAGTGACAAGTGTCGAATATATTTACCAACAGCTGAGCCATAAATTCACTTTCGAACATCCTTCCACCGCGGCCCATCTTCAAAGCTCCCCCTCCGGGCTTCCCCCCCCCCCACTCTCCTGGCGCTGCAGCCTCTCCCCCGAAGAGTTTTCAGCTTGGAAAATTGATTTCCTTCAAATTCGAACGTAATCCAAGACCCCGAGTCCTGTGGAGAGAGTCTCCTCGGGGAACGTCCATAAATTACGTCACGCACTCAGGATGGGGGACTCCGAGTGATGCTACACCGCCGAGCCTACGGCCTGGCACATCCAGCCGAGGAAAATTTTTGTTTCCCTTAAATTTTAACCTGAGTTGGACCAAGTTTAACAGAAAGGAACCAAGCCACATCAGCTGTTGCCAAAATTAACTGGGCAATTCAACTTTTAATGAGAGAACGTTTGTGCGGATTTCTGTGAAAATGATTAGGAATTTTCTTCGTACTATGGAGAAAATCCACTGAAATTTGCACGAAAATTGGACTGCGTTAAGCAAGAAGGAACCAAGCCACATCAGTTTTTGCCAAATTTAATAGAGCAATTTAATTTTTTACAAGAGAAGGTTTGGCGGATTCCTTTGACATTTTTGAGGAATTTGCTTCGTACTACGCAGGAAATTTACTGACATTTGCAGAGAAATCCGCAAAACCATTCTTGGGTAAAAAATTAAAGTGCCTAATTAAATTTGGCAATAACTGATGTGGCTTGGTTCCTTTCTGTTCAACGCGGTCCAATTCGCACTACCGTTTTCACGTAAAAAATTAAATTGCCCAATGGAAATTGGCAATAGCTGATGTGGCTTGGTTCCTTTCTGTTTCACTCGGTCCAGTTAAAGCTCTACGAGGGTGTGTTTTAAAATCAACAGGTCAATGATAGAGCCAGTGAAAGTATTGTTCCTTAAATTATTACGTTTTCAATGGGTGATGCGCTGGTTACAAAATCGTGTTTTGATGCTTTATTCTTACAAATCAACTAAAAATAATAAGATCTATCCAAACAGCAACTTTCTACGTTGAACGTTAATCGAGATATCGCGGCTTGAAAAACTCGATTTATGACGTCATCCACCGCGGTAGTACATACCAAATTATGCGCTACCCCGGTGGATGACGTCAAAATGCCGACTTTTCAAAGGGTGATATCTCGGTTAATATTGAACGTAGAAAGTTGTTGATTGAACAGATCTTCTTATTTTTAGCTAAGCTACGAGGATGAAGCATTAAAACACGATTCTGTTACCAGCGCAACTGGCCCATTTAAGAAAACCAACCATCAACCAATCATTTTGGCAAAGCTATACAGCTTTAGTGTTTTCTTAGTGCCGTGCGGCACAGGCAAAGAAAATTTACCACTGCTAGCACTCACTACTTCGAAAGAGGAAAATTAGAGAATGGCTGACTACACGTGTTGTAACAGTTAAAAAAAAAAAAAAAAAATTCCTGCTGGAAATGACGAGTAGGAACAGACAAAGGATTCTGCTGATATCAGTCGACTCTCCACGGATGGCGGTACAGTGGATACTGAAATCAGTTACATCTTCACTAGTATAGGTTGAATCTCTGCTGATACATATGTTTCCTTAAAATCTCTCAACTCATTTTTGACCAACTTATATGATTTGAAGCTAATATCAGAACCAACGTTAAATTGACGATTAACTCCAAAGAGGAGCTCCAATAGTTCTCTCGTCTTTTCAGTGGGGTCCAAGGGGCCTCGTATAGAAAATTTTGAGTCGTCTCAGGAGAAATTTTGGGCCATTCTCACCAAAAATCGATCCAATTTCGATTCCGAAGATCAGAGACAGTATTTTGTGATATAGAATGCCTCTCGTGTAGAAATAGGCCGAGGAAGAATTGGCTGTTTTGGGACTAAACTCCTCAATTGACCCTCTAGTGCCCGGGGCAAAGGATGCGGAGTGCCTTTTTGACGGGAGGCCCTCGAGTTAAACGTAACAAGGCATACAGCCCATGGCGGAGCGTGGCGGGGACGAAATTAGGACTGAGAGACCTCTCTTCGATAGGAACTCACAGAAAAAAGGACTGACGAGAGGGGGGAAGGAGGGAGTGGGCGTCATCTGTAAGGCGGTTGTCAAGAACTCTTGGAATGTGGTGCGATGTGCTAAAATTATTATTCTCCTCCACCGTAGGCCCACTTGAACACGCTCGATGGCTCCATCCAACTTTCGACTTTCCAGCCTCTTAGCTTTTTCTCCGTCGAAAGCTCGGCGACCACTTTGCGCTCCCCCCTCCCCCCTCCGCC